ACACAAGAAAACAGAATACATCAGTTCTCAAGAAAAAAAAAGTTATTTGAGAGAAAAGATTAAAGAAGTACCTAAAAGAATTTGAATATACAATAAATTCAAACCTATAGGTGGAAGTACAATGAATAAAGTTTGAAAGATTTTAATTCTTTTTTTAATTATAGATGTCCAGGGTTGTGAAACCAGCCTCTAAAGTTTAACAGTTCAAGGGATCAAAAACTCTTAATTTTCTTTCTTTTTTTTTTTTTCCAAGACAGAGTCTCACTCTGTTGCTCTGGGTAGAGTGACGTGGCATCACAGCTCACAACAACCTCAAACTCCTGGGCTCAGGCGATCATCTTGCCTCAACCTCCCAAGTAGCTGAGACTACAGGTGCTCACCCCCATGCTGAGCAAACTTTTCTATTTTTAGTAGAGATAGGGGTCTCACTCTTGCTCAGACTGGTCTCCAACCCATAAGCTCAGGCAATCCACCCGCCTTGGCCTCCAAGAGTGCTAGGGTTACAGGAGTGAGGAACTCTTAATCTTAAATAGTATAGATAACTAATAATTACATCCTCCCTTTGCATATAACTTCCTCTCAGAACCAAAATATCCCCTCAAAAATCTTTTAGGAAAATAGTGGTACAATCAATAAATATCCAGAGGACATCAATGTACCCAGCTGGAGCAGAAGGGACTATTTCTTGAGTCAGCTCTGGAGTTTATATAAGACATTCAGTTCTTTTCGGATACTTTCTTATTTAACTAAGCTACTTGCCAAGGGTCACACAGGTAATAAGTACTCAGGCAGTAATTAAACACCAAGCCTCTCCCAAATGGATCTTGCTACTTCAATCCTTCTCTACCAGCCATGGCCACTGAACCAAAAAGTTTCCTTTTAGGCTTAATGAAAATCATAAATGTCTACCATCGAGTCTGATGAGAGCCTAATGTGACACTTCATCACATGATCGTAGTAACAACAGAGCAGAGGCGAGGGAATTGTCTTCCTCAAGTTTAATAATAGCAAAATAATCACCACATAGGCCTGTCTTGCAGAATTTTGAAAACTAGATGTGGCAGGCAAAATGAGTCTGCCCTTCTGCTTCCGTCACTTACCTATTTATCTATTTACAACCTTATTCAAATATTAAAAGTAGTCCTAGGGAATTTGTGCTGTTTGGAATCCTTTCGATTCTTCCCACGGTAAAATACTATGCTTACCAGCTTGTTTGGGTATCTGAGGAGGATTGGCTGCACTGGAACTCCTGGGATGAAGGCTCCTATATGAATGAAAGTTTTATGATAAAGAAAAAATATCAATCATAAGTAGTATAAACATACTGCATATCTTAAGAGTGCACATAACTGAAATTATTTGCTAACTGTTGAGAAATCTCTAATGTTCTCTACCCAAATGAGGAATTTTTAGGATTAAGAACGATTTAAGAAAATATTAAATGTGGTGCCCAAGCCACTTCAAATATTTATCTATTTAACTATCTATCTATTTATTTATTTCTCCACCTGTTTTCATTGTCTAAATACCTATCCTTCAATAGGATTTTTAAAGAAAGTAATGACAAAATCAAGAGAAGGAGAAAATAAGAAGAAAGTTTCCAGGAAACCAAAGAAAGGCATAAAGCAAGAACCACCAGACTTGCTAGTAAGTGAGTCATAACTTAGGCAGGGGAGCATTCTAGCAGCTGATACAACATTTTAAAGTGTCACAAATTACAACAAAAGCTGTAGTCACTGACGTGGTAATGTTAAAAACAGTGAACCTGAGAAGGCAGGTGAAGACTTTATAATAATAACGAAATGCAGGTTTTCTACTTGATGACACAGGACCCCCTACATGTCTCTGAGGTTCCTTGGAGGAAGAGAAAAATGTCGGTGGTTTCTGCTCAAAGACAGACGCACGCACACACGGGGGAATGTTACAAAAGGGGTTATGATACCAAAAGAGAAAGGAAGACGTGAGTTCTGTGGATCTGCAACATTAAGAACTTATCAGAAAAGAAGAAACGCTCAGAGCAGACTAAAGAGTTACTGTGCGTGCTACTATCAAATCATTTGAGAAATCTTCCATATTAGTTTTATTACAATACATAATTCAATTTATCTCACCTGGTTTAAAAGTAATCAAACAGGAACGATTAGTACAAGTACCTTCTGGGAAAACTAGTATCTTGGGAGAAAAGGAATAGATTTAATATTTCAGTCTAATTAATAAATTACCTCTTTACTCACTTTCTTATGGCTTCACAAACAGCTGTCAGTGCTCAAAATACAAAAATGGAACGAAGGCCTAACACTTGATTCTAATGAAAGTTAGAAACACCTTGCTGGATTCTCCTCTAGAAGAAGTGTAGTCTGAATGTTAAGATAATCAAAACATGGATTTAAGCTTTGAAATGAATCTTAAAGATGACACTCATGATCTGAATAAACTTAAAAGGAAGTGTAGACTGTAAGCCATGGTCAAAGGGCACACTCTCTTTCATTAGGTTATAGCAAATTCTTTCTTCTCTTATACATCCTTAACCAAATAATCTCCTAGTTTCTTTGTTTCACTTTTCCGTAAATGACATTCACTCCTACAACATACATATATGTCTCGAGGATATCTTGGAGACAAAGGAGGAAATGCTTAAAATGTGCTTTATGCTTATTTGAATTAGTTGACATATGGAATACAACTTAGTACCTTTCTTTTATTGTTAAGAGTTTTTTTTTTTAGCTTTTATTGTGCTTCTTTCTGCTTCCCATGTGAAAGATATGTAGTACAGTTAGTTTTCTCATTCACTAAATAAAATTGCAGCTTGATTTTCTGATACTTCTAAACTTTAGCCATGAGAAAATTGCTATTACAGTTAGTAACGTGTCCGTATTTTATAACTCAAGAGGGAAACCGCTGAGCGATGCTGCCACAATAACAAGTTATTTATAAAATGAAAATTATGAGTAGGTATAATTCCATTCTCTAATTTAAAAAAAAAATGGGTTTCCTATAACAATGGGACACAATATTACCTATATTCTATTCCGTGGAAAATCTACAGTTACACTATTAACTAAGGATGGATATAGAGTAAATCATAAAAATCTGAGAGCTAGAAGAGGCATTAAAAGTAACCTAGCATCTCCAATGCTTGAATTCTTTCTGCAGTATCCACTCCCCGACCTTCCCCACCCCTGCCCAAGTAGTTGTTCAGCCCATGCCTAAAGATTCTAGAAAAGGATTCCAAATCAGACCATTCTACCTCTGGACAGACAGAATTCTTTCTCAACATGAGCAAAATGAGCTGAAATCTGTGTGTTATCTCCCACCTACTAGTCTTAGATTCCTTGGAGCCACAGAGAAAAATCAAACACTGAAATTTTACAAAGAGGTGACCAACACATAGAGAATATTTTGCAAATATTTTGTCATGATTATTTTGTAAATAAAGGTACATTTAGCTACAATGTACCTGTTTCCTTATGTATTGCAACTTCTGTGGGTGACTTTTAGGACACCCTATATTTTAAACACCAGCTATTCTCAATTGTCATTTTAATATTTCCTTATATGTCTTGGTTTCTAAAATCACCCGGTTGGTAATACTTTCAAGTTTAGTATCTTCTACTTTAATATCTGCATGTTATCACGAGTGGCCAGATCACTGCAGGACTGTTAGTCTGGAAATACTACTTGTTTTCCACCAGGCAAACATAGACGGCTACTTACTAGAATCGCCCATGGTTTATCACACCATAAATGCCGTCTCTTCCTTGCCCTCAAAAAGCACCCCAGCGAAGGGGGGG